GTTGCCCGCAATACTATCATTTGAACATACTGAAGTTCACTGAACATTGGATTTACATATCGATGAGAAGACGCCAGATAAGAATTTGTCCCGAATTTCTGTTATGCGTTCCAATCTCACGAAAATAATAAAGGCTTTTATTTTTTTAATCATACTGAACAAATTGCAGAGTTCGATAGACTTTTTAGAATTATAACAAATTTAATAAAATATCATAAAAATTATTTTAATGGCGGAGGATAACATCTAAAGATATATCAAATATTAAAAAAAACTTGTTATTTAAATAGATATAATTAGAAGAGATAAACGCTTTTTTATGGTGACTGAAAATTAAACGAATTGATGTGCATCGAGAGGAACTAAAAAAAGCGAAAGGGGCTTCCTTGAATTTTTGCTAATTACTTTTATGATTATCATTAAAGCTATAAACCAACGCTTGTGCATGTGAATGATTTATATGGATTTTAATTTAGGGTTTATTAAAAAAAAAAAATACAGGTTCAACATTTATGTATTTTTAATTTGAAAGCTATAGGTTCTGTTTAGCCTGTAATTTTATTTTATCGAGTTACAATTTTTTTTTTTACTAGCCATAAAATTGTTCAGACAACATTTTTAGTTATAACAAGTAATAACACTTTTAAGTAACAATAACACTGTACAACACTAATTTAATTAAAATGATTTTGTTATTTCAAAAAATATTAGTTATATAGTTTTTGTATTTGTATATCTAATTAATTTTAATAATTTAATATCGTGATTTTTATGTTTATTTTGTTTTATTTAATAGATTTTTATCTTCGTGATAATTCGAGAATTGAAACTAATAGATATAAACATTTTTACATTATACTATAGGTTTTGTTTAATATTACATGGTTCTATTTTGAAAATAATTTATTATTTACGAATAACATTTATTTCTTTTTTTTTGTGAGTATTTAAAATATATACATAGATAAATAGCGAAATTTTTGGGGAAATGGAACGTTCCAAAGAAAAATTCCACCTTCTCCACTAGAAACAGTTAACTTTATAAATCAATTAAATTAAGTAAATCCGAATTTTTTTTTGAGAAAAAGAGAATTAACGATATGGACTCTTATCTAAATACGTGATTGATTTCTTACTATTATAATGGTTTTCAAAAACATAAAAGTATTATATTTTATAAAGTGCCNTTTTTTTTTTTTGTGAGAGTATTTAAAATATATACATAGATAAATAGCGAAATTTTTGGGGAAGAGGAACGTTCCAAAGAAAAATTTCACCTTCTCCACTAGAAACAGTTAACTTTATAAATCAATTAAATTAAGTAAATCCGAATTTTTTTTAGAAAAAAAGAGAATTAACGATATGGACTCTTATCTAAATACGTGATTGATTTCTTACTATTATATTGTTTTTCAAAAAACATAAAAGTATTATATTTTATAAAGTGTTAATGAATTACAGGTCAGGGAATATCATTTTCATACACATTACTGTCTATTAGTCATAAGATTTTAAATTATAAAAACTGAATTTCACTTAAAAAATACGTACAAAACTATACATCACAAAAAAAATATTGAAGTTATACAATAGATGCTATGTGTCAAAAATAATATTTCTTTCGGATTATGAATGTTAAGGATTTTTTTTACCAAAAATGTTATTTTGATGAGTTCTAGTTTCGGGAATAATAATGCTGTTTTTTAAGAGATAATTGGGTAATTTTGGATTAAAGCCTTGACGTATAAAAAAAAAAAAAAATTCAACAGAAATCATGGAATAATATAGAAACTTTGACGTTATTTTCAAAGTTATAATAACAATACAATCCTTAAAAAATATATTGTACATATAAAACATGTTCAATTTCATACACTATTTCATAAAATAGAGAGATATTTGTCATGTAAATAAATCACATGTCTAATTAAGAAACATAACAGATTTTTATTTCATAAAACATTTTAATAATAGCAATATTTTTTTATTTGAATGAAATAATACATTTTTTAGTATTCCTAAATTATTAAAAATAATCACGGTCTTGTTTTAAAATGTCAATCGATTAGATGAAAATATTTTTTTTTTTCAAATTGAAGTTGTTGAAATTAAATTTGAACTGCTAAAATATTTCATTGAAATTCCGTCGTATTCATAAATTTAACTTGTCAGCAATTTCATATCTTTTTGATAACTTAATTATTTTTCATTAATTTTAAATTACATATTTTTATTATTTTTATTATTTGATTTATAAATAATATAATTTAAATGTTATAGGTTATTTAATGAGTGTAACACGACCACAATGTAATAACGAGCAGCTGTCAGACGCATCTCACCTGTCCGCCGTTTTTTATTGAAATAAAAAATAAATAATAGCTGAAAATTTAGTAAAACGCTCCTACACACAGCATGTTGTCTGCGTAATCCATAAATCAAATCATGTTTCAACTACTTGGGTGTATGTAGTGTAAACATAGGACCACACGAATTTTATTTATTGTTATTGTTTTTAAAAGAGGATACCAATAGTTGATATTTTTAACAATAAATTTAATTTGAAACTATCATACAATGCAAATCATAAATATAAAAGGTACTCAGCTTTTTATTGATCAATATTTTAATAAAAATGATAACTGTTTGACAAAATTAACTAACAAAAAACAATTTTGTTTAAAGTTAGTCCTGAGTATTTATTTTTTTAATAAAATGGTAAATAACAATTTTTTTTTTTTTTTGAACGGCAAACTGACGGTAAACTATTACTTTTTAAAATGAAAAAAATAGAAAATCAAATGTTCAGTTATACTGAAATTATAGTTGATAACATAATAATAAAATAATCAGTTTTAAGCACTTTTTTTTACAAAAAGATTAATTGGTCAGTGACATATTTAGGACGAGTAATTACTGTGAATTACAAGTCTCTTGGCAGAAAATTGCTAAAACTATTTAGCACTTAAGTCAATATTTGAAAGAGACTTGTTTCTAATTTTATGGTTAGTTAATCGACAAAAAAGTTCAATGAATTCAATAAAAGTTTGCCCAATTTTTGTTTACAATTGGCTTTATTACTATTGAAATAATTGTTTTCATCAACATTTGTTGCCGTTAAATATTATTACTCATAGAATTAAAAACAATCGAATAAAAACCTACACTTTTTAAACTATAATTCAGACAAATTCACGATTATATTGAAGAAAAATTAGAACCCTTTCTTCAATATGCTACTGGCCAGTGTATCGATTGTGCTACATTTTTAAATCGAGGAGAATGAATGAGAAACGAACATAAAAATAAAATATAATATTTTGTAGCCTTTCTCTGCTGGAGTGTATGACTAAATGGCGCCTCTCGACGGGGTACGTGTCATTTAGTGCTTTGGGAACCGTATAAGATACTTCCACCAACAACAACCTGTTCACGATTCAGCAATGCTTCTTTATCGCGCTTTGTCCATTGGCAGGCATATGATTATGAGAATTATTACTACACAAGTATACGATGTAGCATGTCGTCGTTAACTCATTTTTGTTTTGACAACACATAATAATATTTGAACAATAACATTTACATATCGGATGAAGCGATTAAATAATTTATGGGCTGAGAAAATCAATTTTTGATAAGCGCGACAACACATGAGTACTGGAAACAAAAAGTTAAGACCCATTTCCCGAAACATTTGAATTTTGACACAGTGCACTTGTTTTTGACTCGCCAGATAAAAATATTTCCATTGAACTTTTTGTTTAATAGTATAATTTGCATAAATATGAACACCACGTGTCGCCGCGTAAAGTTTTCAACAAAGAATTATTCCGTTAATTTTTTTCTCGTGCTTAAATAATTTGCTGTCCGACGTTTCTAAGAACGTTTTTTTAAATATACAATGCGTGCAAAATCATTGACTAAAAGTCTGAGGGCGTTTACTATCTATAATTTACATCCAAGATGTTTTCGTAATTGATTTTATCTAAATAGTCCATACACATTTTCGTGTATGTACGTGTGTGGTGCTCTTACAGTAGTTTTTGACAGTAGGCACTGCCGTTGGCCTGAAATCTGACGTTATGATAATCACGTTGGCTCCTATCAACCAGCGTTATTACCAGAGTCCGTTACACAATATTAAAATAATTTCACTATTTATCATCTAGTGGCGCGCGTACATCTCCAGAGGAGCAAACCTCGAACGACGTTTAGATTGTACATAAAAATGAATTATGGTGTTCAAATACAAACAGTAACCCATCGATATTCAATACAATATGATTATTTATGTTCAACAACAGTTTTAAATATGCTCCGCAGTAGTCACTAAAGAAAAATTCATTTTAATATTTGTATAACTTTTGATACTTCCTCTTAAAAGAATATTCAAACAGAGTAATTGACAAATTTTTTACTTTTAAGTTAATATTTAAATTAAAAATTTAAAGTTACAATAAAAATAATTATTTAATAAACAAAGCAATTAAAATTAACACTAATAACGTTAAAAAAAAAAAATTAAGCCAAGTATAGGTTGAAACGTTCAACAAGTAGGCAAATGACATCAGTATTCTACAGATACTATAAAACGATAAATGATAAATCTAAGTCATGACAATGATTTCCCAACAAAATGTATTTATACCACAGAATATACGCTTGTTATTTTAATTATGCGCATTGATAAGCAAAATAAACAATATTCCTTGTTCCTATTCAGTATGTTAGAAAATACTCGATTTGTTATTCATAGGTCTACGGACATTGCAACAATGCACATTCAGCATAATAAGCTGTTTGATTTATACTATCTGATTGATTTATTTGAATTTTAAAAATGTAGTTCAATTAAAATATTTATCCACGCAATGATTCGATTAAACGATTTTACAAATATTTTTATCACTAAATCATTTTATAATATAAAATTTTGACAAGCTACTTTTTTCCATCTAGAAAACTAATTAATATATATATTTTAATATCAAAATCCTTACCTCAGAATCGAGTTTCTTGAATTCTGTATCATCTTCGTCAACTTCGAAGTAGAGTTCTGCAGATGTAATAGAAATAGTACCAGGTGCAACAACTCCTGCCGAGATCAAAGATGCCCTTGTGCTAATATTCACGGGACCTATACATGAAAATAAATTTAACATATAAGTAAACATAAAGATTGAATTTCTATTTTTTAAGGTCATGATTTATTTTAGTTACAAAACAATTTTTTTAATAGGCTTAACACAATTCTTTTTAAGTATAGTTAATTTATATTTTAAAATTATTTATTTCAAATAACGCCTAATATTTGTTTTGACATAGCTTCTTCTTCTTTCTCGCCTTAATCCGAACTACTTGGGGTCGGCCACCATTATCCTAAATTTCCACTTGACACGATCTCCCACATCCTCTACGCTCACATCAGCTGTCCTCATATCCCATTCAATAACATCTCTCCACCTCTTTTTTGGTCTTCCTCTACCTCTCCTGCCTTCAACATTCATTTCTACAACTGTTCTTACGGCTTTCGATTCTTCTCTCCTCATAACATGACCAAACCATCTAAGTCTATTTTCTCTCATCTTATCCACGATTGACGTTACACCTATACTCCCTCTTATATGTTCATTTCTTATCCTATCTTCTCTAGTCAATCCACTCATCCATCTAAGCCTTCTCATCTCTGCTACACTCATTCTCTGCTCTACTTTCTTATCAACCGCTCAACACTCTGAACCATACATCATAGCTGGTCTCACTACAGTTTTGTAGAATTTACCTTTCAGCCTCATTGGGATTCTTTTATTGCATAAGACGCCAGACACTTCTCTCCACTTTAACCACTCGCACTTAATTCTGTGTCTTACATCCTCATCAATACCACCACTGTTTTGCACAACTGACCTAAATACTTATAACTTTCCACCTCTTCAATCACGTTCTCGCCTAGTGTCACTGGTCTCCCCATTTCACCTATCTCGTGTTCTCCTTTGTCAAACTTGTACTCTATATACTCTGTCTTGCTCCTACTTATTCTTAATTTCTTTTCTCCAAGATTTGATCTCCTTACCTCTAGCTTTTGATTAATTCCCTCCCTATTTTCTTCTATTAACACTATATCGTCAGCAAACAACATGCACCACGGCACCTCTCCTTGTATTTCTCTAGTAATTTCATCCATTACTATAGAAAATAAGTAAGGGCTTAAAGCAGAACCCTGATGCACTCCTACTCTTACCCGAAAACTTTCTGTTACCCCACCCACACTTTTTACCCTAGTAGAAGTGCCATTATACATATCCTCTATTATATTAATGTACCTTTGCGGGACTCCTTTTCTCATTAATGCCCACTTTAGAACCTCTCTCAGTACTCTATCATACGCTTTCTCCAAATCTATAAATACCATACAAAGCTTTTTCTTTTTTTCCCAAAACTTTTCTATTAGTTGTCTCACACAAAATAATAGCTCCATTGTTCACTTACCAGGTATAAATCCAAACTGGTTTTTAGATACCGATGTCTCATTTCTTATTCTCTTATCTATTACCTTTTCCCAAATTTTCATACTATGACTCATAAGCTTTATGCCTCTAAAATTTCCACACTCCTGTATATCACCTTTACCTTTAAATATCGGCACCATAATACTATTCCTTCATTCATTTGGAATTTTCCCTTCTAACAAGATTTTATTTAAAAGTTCCTTCAACCACCTTATGCCAAGATCACCTAATATTTTCTATACTTTTACTGGCACTTCATCTGGTTCCACTGCTTTATTCTTTTTCATTGATGCCACAGCCTCCGATACTTCTTTTTCACTAATTAAATCTATTAGTCCCTCATTCCACGAGATATCCTCTAACGTCTCTTTTGAATACTCCTCATTCAGTAATTTTTCAAAATACACTTTCACCTTTTTTTCACATCATCATCACTCAAGAGTACCCTATTATCAGCACTTTTTATACACTTTATATAATGATAATCTTTAGTCATTTTCTCTCTTATTTTGCAAGTCTATAAATTTCTTTCTCGCCTTTCTTTGTTTCTAGCCTATTATACAACTCATCATACCTCTTTAATTTTGCCTTACTTACTACACACTTGGCTTCTTTGCACAAGCGTTTATACTCCATCCAGTCTTCTCTCCTTTTGCTCTTCTGTCATACTTTGAATTGCTTTTTCTTACTTCCTATGATTTTTTGAACGTCCTATTTATTTTGACATAGCTGAGAAAAATATTATAATGCATTTTTATGAAAACTTTGTTAGCCTATTGGTTAAGTATATATCTGGCATAAAACTCAGAGCATTATTAGTTTCAGGCTATGCGTATTTTTGAGCATCTCATAATAATTTATAAAAAACATTCTATTAATATAAAAATAGTAAATAGTTAAAAACCCAGGAAATTATTTCCTATCTTCTATTCTTATTCTCTTGATCCTAGAGCGTGTATTTTTGGTAACTGATTTGGAATTTAATTTCACTCCTTTTCTTTCATTTCATATTCAAACAAATATTATAGTTGGTTAAACTTTGAGAGTTATGTGCTTTTTAAAGTGTATTTGTCTTTTTACTTTATTCTTGTCTTCATTCTCTTTATTTTTCTTTAGTACGTTACATTTTAGAATATGATTTAGTTGTCTGGAAACCTTATTAAGCCAGTGATCAACTTCAAATTGGACTTGTTCAAAATCATTCTTTTCTTATACTACTTTTATCCTCAAAATTTTATCACCTCTACATGACTATTCTATTGTCCGTCAAACTGTTAATATACCCACTCTTCCTTCTCGTCATTTGATGCTGACCTTTCATTTATCACATCATTTCTAAATGGTTAAATCGATACCTCCGACTTTCTATTTTCTGTAACTATCCGTGTTACCACTTACCCAATTAGAAATCACTCTCTTTTCAATATTATTTTGCATTATACCTCTTATAATTATAATAATCCCTTGCTTAGAATGCTTCGTGTCTTAAAAAATGTGTACTTTTTACCCACTCACCTCCGCAAAATTTGTACAATGGTGTCACGTCATCAATATTTTTTAATAATTGTAGAAAATATAATAATAAATTAAGACAACACTTCCGCCGCTAGCGACTGATCACAATAATTAAATAAGAATATACAATTATGTATTAATTTAAGCACTTTTTAAACAAATTGGATCTGGTCATCATGGTCAGTCCAGTTCGCATATCAAGATTTTACAGTCTCAGTATTCGGTTGTAAGTGTCCAACTTCCAACCTTACGTCCTGAGTTAGTTTGTTCATAAATGATGCCTTTACCTACCTAATTCCTCTCCTAGTTAACTCAAGTACATACATCTTGCACCTTGTACTTAGTTATATCTTTCTCCTGATACGCTTAGTATTTGCGTCCACTAGTAGGTGCACTACGTGTGCACCTAATACTTTAGCGTTACTCTCCTAAATTTTCTATAACAACAGCTCTTTAACACTCTCGATAGAATTAGAAGTTCAGGATAAGGGTGGCCGACCCCAAGTAGTTGTGATTAAGGCGAGAAAGAAAAAGAAGAATAAGAAGAAGCCGAGCATACTGTGACTATCAACATTACATTTTAGTTTACCTCGTTCTTTTGTCTTACGATACTTGTACTATTACAATTAATATATATATTTTTTTAATATTTTAGAATATTGTTATTGTTACTTTATATTTTGTATTCTATTATCCCTTTATTACTTTAGTTATTATTACTTATCCAAATCATATCCATATACTATTTTATGTTTTGTAAAATTCCATTTGGTGTTAGATAAATAAATAAAATAAAATATTAATGGTAATGGTTGATAAAAACAATAACTTTTTATTGCCTAAAAATCAAAACAATAAATATCTAGTTGTGTTACTTACCTACGAGATCAGCATCCAACTCCCTGTCATCACTCATTAACTCTGAATCATCAAGTAAATCAGATGACTGACTACCTGGACCATTTTGAGTATTCATAGCTACTAGTTGTGCATGAAATACTTCTTCCCTAGCTTGAAGTATAGCATCTTGTGGAGCACCATGCTCTAGAGCTGCTTTGAGTGTAGCTTCTGGATGAGTTGTTCCTCGAGGATTAGGAACAAATCTTTTCCGTCGCCTAGCATCGTCTTCCCAAACATCCAATTTCCAAAAGTGAGATATTCTTTAAAATATATTTTAATATTATTAGCATAATTTTATGTGCAACATTACCATTTGTTACTTTAAAAGCTTATCTAAAATCTTACCTAGATGGGAGATTTTCATGTAAATAACCCCATGCACCATGTTTATTTGATAGAATATTACAAATTTTATCAAGAATACGACTAGCTACAACACTATCTCGACGTCTAGCAGCAGTAATCAAGTGATCACACATTTTCTCTTCTTCTCGACGTTCTAATGTTGTTTGAGCACATTGAGCCTGAAAATACACATTTTACATTATTTAATTGATATAATAATTGTTGTTTTTTTATTCATACCTCAAAATCTGCATGTTTAAGCACATCATCAGCTCTCATCCTATTTAATATAAACTCAGCTTCATTAGCTACACGAACAATATGATCTTTCATAGCATGTGAAAGTAATCTAAATACATTAAAATTTTGTTTTACTGTTTAATTAAGTTTCTTTTTTCAATTTTTTACACTTACCGGCCTTCATTTATAAGCTCTATAAAAGCTAGTCCTGCGTGTTTCTGAAGTGAATTTTGCCACTCTTGAGAACAAAGTAACATAACTAATTCAACAACTGACTGGCTGTTTTTAAAAGTTGTTAAGCCTAATAAATACAATATTTTTTAGTTTTTATAAATACATTAAAATATCTATAATACATCACATTTTTTTTTTGACTCTCAACAACATTTAAGTCAATATATTTTATTTCTATGCTATCATACCTTTTCCTTCCATTAGTAATTCCTGACCATGAGAACCAACCAATGTTTTTGATAAAAATGGAGCAAAATCAACCATTATTTCCCGTAACAATGGGCATACTGAACCAAGTGCTGCTTCTAATTTATTTGTTAATGATGCTTCTCTATTAGGAAGATGTGTTTGATGGGGTAAATTAACATTTTTTAGACCGTAATCTTCTACAGTATGATTAGAATTTTTCAAATTCAGGTTCTGGGTAGTAGGTGCAGGTATATTTACAACAGATATTTCACTTAAAGGTTTATCACCTCTTAAATCTTATGAATAAAGTATAAATATTATTAATTAAAATTAAATTTTTTCATTAAATAGTAGTAAAATTTCACCTTTTTGAATTCGTCTATCATCCTCATTTGCTGATTGAGAATCCTCATTGAGATTAACATCAGTCCAAGCTTCTTCATTTTGAATTGAAATTATAGTACTAGCTTTAATATCAGTGTCATTACTATCGACATCACTGCATGCTTGAGAACTGTTGGACGCTAATTCTTCAGAACAAATGCTCTAAACAATAAAACAAAATTTTGTTAAATATAAATATATATATATATTTTTTTAATTTCATAACTAAGTTTAAAGTTATCATAAATAAATTTGCTATTTGAAAAAGGTGCTATAATTTATGCCATAAATAATGACAGTGGCTAAAATAACACTAATATTTTAAATATATTATGAATGCATGTAAAATGTGCATCAATGCTCAATTTCAGTGTTGACAAACAGTGTGTATAGCTGGTTGGTAATCAAACCAGTACCTTTTTCAGAGATGATATTGTTTTGTTATTTATATCTTTACGCTTGTAGCGAAAATAATAACCATTCAATGATGATACTGGTACATGAAGTAGTTGCTATAAATTTGAACAAATATTAAATTGCACAACAAAAGTCTACATTGATTTTTATAAAACTTGTAGTATATTATTTAAGGGGTAAAAAAACAACTCTTGACTTAAATAAATTTCAGAAATCATACAAACAATTTTAAATAGATCACAACTAGATATTTAACAGGCATATATTGTAATTTAGTATTTAAATTTGTTTGGTAAATTATTTAATGCAAACATAAATTAACATTTAATACAATTATAAATTACTTAATTTAATTATTCAGAGAAACAAATTAAAATTTACCATAAATACTATTATACAGAGAATATGCATATATTTTGTTAAGTAAAATAATTTATTTTCAAATTAATTTCAATAGATTATAGTTTTAAAATATTTTTTATTTTATTCAATAGGTTCAATAGGAAAAATGTTTAATTTAAATAGTGTAAACTATAACTTTAAAACAGTGATTCATACCTTATTGTAAGAATTATTTAATGTTTGTGAAGGAGGATTTAAATTTTCCATTGAAGCTGTAATAAATTCTTCTTCATCTGTTGGATTAAATTCAAATATGTTAGTAAAATGTATAAATATTTTTTTTAACATTAAATAATTTTGATTATAAAACAAACTACTTAAATTTTAAAATGGTGACTAAATAAAAAAAATGACCATGCACAAAAAAAAATTCAAGTGAATACTAAACTGGCAATTTTAAAAATTAAACTGTGTTCTATTTCAAAGACTAAAGCATTTCAAAAATTTTATACCAAATTATTAAACTTCCATGATAAAGGAATATTTTAATTAAAACTGCATTTAAAATATTTAAAATATTTTTAGTACACAGTTATAATATTATGAGGGCAGTAAAAAAAAAAATTAATTATAAAAGATTTATAATATTGGTAATCAAGATTTGATAAGACATGAGATTATTAATCAATAAATTGTTGAATTATATTTTATTAGATATAAATAATTTATTTGATCGTACAGTGTTCCTTTTAGCACATTTTTAAATTTTAAAAATAAACATAAATATTAATTATTAACTTAAAGAAAAATGTTCATTCAGCTTATATAACTCTTTTGAAATATGATCAAGTATAAATTTAAGCTAATAATTAAAAAAAAATGTATTATTATTTTTTTTGAATTCCTATCATCAAATAAAATAAGTCAAAAAATTGATTTGGATCAAAGAGTGTTGCAATTGGTACATGTTCACAAATATATATATATATTATAATTGGGATTAAAAACATTGAAATATTTGGCTAAATATTTAAATAGATTATCTCTGAATCATCACATTTGACTTCTAATTCTACTTCCAAAATGAAAAATTGATTTAAAAATTATATATTTAACAATGATGAAATGATCACAGTGGTATTAGATAACAGAATATATAAGTAATGTAAAAAATTTTTGAGTATATGACAATTATTGGTTAATAAAATTTTTACTTTTTATAACAATAGCTTGATCACTTTTTTTTTTTTTTTTGGTGTACAAACTATATAGTCTGTGCTATAACCATTATTTAGTAACACCAATTTTACTATATTTTATGGTGTAATAAAATTACACCATAATAGAAGTTTAATATAGTATATTTAATGTCATATAATGCATTCATTTTCTTGGAAACTATTAAACATTTTTAGTTTTCTTAAAGAAAAATATGTAGTTAAATAATTTTTATTCCATTCATTCAGAATTAAAAATTCTAAACTAAAATTTTCTTTAATGGGAATTTATATTTTTAGTTTAATGTATGATAGAAAAAAAAAATTCAAAAAATTTTGTTCTTATAATATTTTTTATGAAATTAACCATTCTTCTGTTGATAAAGTTTAGCAATTTTAATACATTTTCTATTGGTAATTTACTATTTAACATACAGTAGTCGTCATATTTACATGCTGTTTCATAAACAAATTTTTTTACATTTCTTGTTATCATATTTGTCATTAATAATAGTAATATAAAAAACCGCTAATAATTTATAGCCCATTGAAACAGATTATTGTTGCCTTCAATAATATATAAACCTGATTAATGATGAATTTCTATTTTGAATGCAAATTTTAAAATTTGGTTTATATGATAAAAATCAACTATAAGGATAAAATTGTTTAAACTTTTTTTTATCAAATTATCAAATTCAGGTATTTTATCCTTGAAGAAATAAAAAAAATATATTTAAAATATTATATAATATTGAACAATTTTTCTTTATCAAACAATATTTTCTTTTGGGAAAATTAAAAATATTTATAAGCTTCTAGGAAAATGTGTGTCTTATCCTTAATAGATCACCCTGTATAAACTAAGTAATTTTATAAATCCAATAAATTGTTGTAAGTACATTATTTATGTTTAAATCATTAGGTTATAGGACTAAGATTTTTTAATTAAAATGTTGTACCATTAATATTAATACATATATTTTTACCCCTATTAACGGGATTTCACGATAAATTGGTAAAAATGAAATGGGTAAAAAAATTTGGAAAAATAACTACATAATGCTAAAATTTGGTAATGATATTATTGTCATAATGAGATTTGTGACCCTGAACAGTCTTGTTTCTATACAGTGTAAGAAATAAAAACACTATACAAATTAACTACTAATAACTACAATAAACCTAAGTTAAAACTATTTAATAAAAATAAATAAATTACACGTTAAAATGGGTATAATAAGCTCATCAGAAAAAAAAGGAAAAATATAACCAAACATAACATGAAAAATCATGATCTGACCTTGATGTCCCAATGAGGGTACAGCATAATGTGACATTATATTGCGATGACTGAAGTTATGGGGCATTTGTGGGTCAATTGAATGTGATGGAGGTAGGAATTGGGGATATACATGATGAGACCATTGTGGAAATAATGGTCTAGTACCATGACAATCTGAACACAATAATAGTTTTATTAAAATCTAATTCTAGTACACATTTTAAATGTGCAACTAAACTATCAATAATGAATATATAATATTTTTTGTGAAATTAATTATATATGTCTTTATTATATGTTTTAAAAGTTATCAAATAATAGTGCATTACTTGTTGGACTTTCAGATGGTACTTGATTATCAGCAGATGAGCTACCTTGCATCGGTAGTGTAGATGTTGGAGGTTCAAGAATATCTCTATACTTTGAAACCATTAAAACAGACACAAAATACACAATAGCTAACGAAAGAAATTGAGCTTGCTTTGTTTCCTCCTATTATATAAATTAATAGTTTTATACGAGTAATGTTTTAATGAAAAAATACATACCACATCTCTATAAATAACAGCACGTAAACGGTTAATGTCCATTTCTTGTAATAATTTCTCTGGGTCACGTATTGGATTTGTCGAGCCATCAATTAAACTCTAATAGAAGAATTGAATTAATAAAAATTATACACACTAAATATTAAAATTTTTAATAATAAATACTTTAGGAGAAGACTGCCCGGCTCTGATAAGAGACTGCAAGTGAAGTTGTTTAGGATTATTAGGTTGTGAAGGTATAACCAAAAGACGGCTTCTTTCTTTACACTCCAAACAGTTACGAACTGCATTAGTACAGACTAAACGTAGACACTGTCTAAGTATTCCTCCACTAGACATATTTTTTTCAGTTTCTAATTCAGAAAAATTTAAGGAACTAGCAAAGACTAGAACATCAGCCATATTTACTAATCTTTGTAATAATGATGCTGCTACTTCGACAGTCATTCCTTGAGTAGGTTCCATAATATCTAATTCACTCTATAATAAAATTTTCAATTTTTAATTAATTTAAGTGTTGAGAAACACATTTTATCATATCTTACATTTGGTGAAGTGGCAGAAGCTAATAAAGGTAATAATCCACCACAAGCTATAATTAAATTATCTGAAAGTTGTGAGATCAAATGTACTGTATTGACTACAAATATTGCATTTTCAGCACCATTAACAAAATCCAACACAGATTTTGTTGAGTGACTATAAATCAATAAATAAATCAAATTGTGAAAATATTAAAATTATTAAAAAGTATTTACCCTCTCCAGACTTGAATATTTGATTCCAAAGAATACAGAACATCTGATAATAACCTTTGGTGAATGTATGACCACTTAAATTCTGGAATTCGAAATGGTGGTCTAGAAGGTCCTGGATTAAACATAGGTCTTGAGTCTAGGTTTGAAGTTATTGGCTTCTTTTCAATCTTTTCTATTTTTTCATCTTCTTTATGTTGCTCTAAAATTTTATGATAAAATAAAATTTTAATAAAATAATCTTTAAAAATGTTTTCATCTTACTCATTTCATCTTTAAGTTCTAAACTTGCTGTTTTTTTCGCATTAGTAGTATCTAAAATTTTATTTAATTCAGTCTCTTTTGCTGTAATTATAACAAAAGCAAATAGATATATTAAAAAATGAAAACTAGTTAGAGTTATATTAATATGTATAAGCATAATGATACCTTCTACATTTTTTTCTTCGAGTATTTGAGGAACTATATAATTATCATTGTCATTTTTAACAATTTCTTTGGCAGCAATTTCATCAATATTATTACATTTAACACTATCATTATTTTTATCAATGATATTTTCACTATTATCTAAGGAATTTGTGGACGGGAATTTCAACTTGGTAGGATTAGAGGACGGAATAGTTTCATCTGTATTAATAATACTGATTTCATTAATTTGATTAAAATAATTTTTCTCATTATTTTTTTTAGGAGTGTCATTTAAATCACTTGGAGTCAAGTAGGCTTCAGAGCAATCACTATCTACAGTTTCACAAGTCTGAATGCTTATTACTGATATTGGTTGATCAATAATTTTTTCATCAATATTAATATTATTCATATCAACTTCCAATGATTCAGTATTTAATGTATTTTCACTATCACTACTATTACTAATACTATCTTGGTTGGCCACATTTCCGTTAACTTTGTCTTGTGAATTTATATTTTCAGAATCACTTATAACAACTGATTCTTTATTATTATTTCTATTTTCAATGATATTAGACTTATGAACTTCATTTAACTTCTCATTAATGACATTTAACAATTGCTCTGTTTTAATTATTTTGCTATCATTGTTTTTTTGGAGATTACTGTTATAAGTATCATCTGATTCTAAATTTGACTTAGGAGATAAATCACCATTTGTAAGAGAATTTTCTTCAATTATTATATTATTATGGTTCTCATTTTCTGTTAATTTGTCTAAGACTTCATTTTCATTATCTGGCAGAATATCAGTTGTTTTTTGGTTAATTTTAGTTGGACAATCAATTATTTCAAGTTTATTTCCTTCATCTTCATTTTCATTGTCTAAATTTTCATAATCTATTTCATTAATACTGTTTTGTTTGTTAAAATCATTTTTTTCTATTATTTCATCAAATTTGTTATGATCACCCAAATTTTCTATTTCTTCAATTGTTTCAATACTGTTTTTTCCTTCAATTATTTTATTAAAATACTCAGTTGGGGATTCAATAAGCTCCTTGCTATCATTTTTATGAGAAATGTCATCAAAGCCTCCATTGCTATCTACTTGATTATTTAATTCAATAGGCTTATCAACATTTTCATTATTATTTTTACAATTTATTGATGAAATTTCATTAGTTGGTGATAAGTTTTGAGTTTGATTTTTATCATCATTTTGTATATTTTTAACAGGAGTGCTAGCAATAGATTCCTAAAAGTGTAATAAATTATTGAGTACTAAGAGAAATAGTTAAAATATAAATATAAGTAAATAAATAATTTTCTCACTGGACTTTCAGACGGAGAATGATTTATTGGTGGTGCAGGGGGTTGATTTTCCCAGCCAGATATTGTACTTATAGGTCGTTGTTGACGTAAACGAGGATCAGTAATATTATCACTTCTTTGACGTTCATAATGTTCATACATCAGGGCAAATTGCAATTTAAACTCTTCAAATGAAACCTTCAGAAATAAAAATAATATTTTAATTTTAAGCAACTTTTTGAAGGTAATTATCAAAAGTAAATACCTTTGAATGTACTATGGCTAAAGTATCAACCCATACTCGCCATCCTCCATATTCATGTTTTATAGCATGATGAAGTAGCATTGTAAAAAGATTATACACCATATCAGAAACTTTTTGTTCTTCACATGTTCTAGGATGAATATATGCCATTGCAATAAGCCATTCCTGGGTAAAAAAAGATTTTTCATAACTCATAGTTAGGAAAACATTATGAAAGCTTGTACACATACCTGCCAAACTGACATCTGTAGAACAGTTCTTCTATTTTCACGGTTATTACTACAAAGTATAGTCATATCAGATAAAAACAACTTTTTAACTTCTAATAGCTGGTCTGAATGTTTAGCTTGTCGAATTAAAGTGGCTACGACTTTAAGAATCACTGTAAAAAATCATTTACATAAATTTAATAATTTATTAATTAAACATTTTTCTAAAATATGATTTCATTTATTTTTAAATAACAATAAAAACTATGAGAAATTATAAACAAAATTTTAATTTAACGACATACTAGGATTTTCCAATCGACAATTACTATCAGGTTCAGGATGTCCCGTATACAGTATTTGTTGACTAATACGTTCTGTTAATATCTATAAAAATAGTTGATACATTAAATAAGTTCACAATGAACAAAATCAAACTAAAAAACTTGCCTCATAAAGAACATTATAAGTTGGTAGTGTTATTGTCTCTTCATGTAACATTAATCGTTCTGCCAAAAGTGTGTACAAATTAAATGGGCTCATAACATCATATTTTCNCTTCATGTAACATTAATCGTTCTGCCAAAAGTGTGTACAAATTAAATGGGCTCATAACATCATATTTTCTCCTAAAAAAAAAAAATGTTATACAATCTAATTAAATTCAGCATTTTTTAGAAATATCAAAACTAAATAGTTTAAAGTATCAAAAAAAAAAATTTTCATAGAATTTTTAGGAATTAAAAACCCCTTGAATATTATTTAAATTATTAATAATTAGAAATATGTTCTTCAATTACAAAATCATTTTTTATTTAAAAATTTCACTTATGACGTCTAAAAATATAATTTACATTCTCATTTATCACATTTATTGATAATAACATTGTTTGAAAACAAAAATAAAACAATATTAAATTATGCACTACTTCATTTATTTGTAAAAATTAATCAACTCCATACACAAAAAATGAGTAAAATAAAGTAAAATAAAAATATTTTTACTTGTGGGTACTTCGGCTCAAGAAAAATCCTAAAAGTTTTAAAGCTTGCAACCGTATCAATTGACTTTCAGATGCTACTAATTTAAATACACATCGAACTCCATGCTTAACATCAAATGCTGGTATCATAGAGGCTGGTTGTTCTGACATTAATGACATAAGTGTTTGAAGCACATCATGTAGGTTCTCATCCTCACAAACTGTATATTTTAAATATCACATGTCATTTGAATGTAAATACATCAATTATAATAAAGAAGCATAAATTAGGAGGACAATAGTCCATAAGAAACAAAACTGTGGAGACTTAGTCTAAAAAAATGTTTGCAACCATTGTTTTTTAAATTTTTTATCTATATTTTATTTTTAATTAGCTCAAATTTTACTATTTTTAGATCTACTAAAGGAATATTGTTCGATAGCCAAGGAAATATTGAGTGGCCAAATGACAAAAACATGTAAAGAATTATTACTCAAAAAATAAATAAATATATATATATATAAAGTACTCATAAAAGAAGCGTTTATTAAAAAAGAAATCAAAAGTTAATTTTAAAACTCAGATTGTGCTATTATTCAGAGTTTATTTCTATTTACTCAAAGTTATTTTAAAAGTGGCACAGAGTGCAATTGCCCTCTTCCTTCCATAGCCTCTACCCACAGCCCCCATAACCAGTCCTCTAATAACATATTGGTCAAATTGTATAAAAATAAACATAAAATATATTTTACTATAAAATAAATAGACAATACCTGTTGTTAAATAGTTTATAATGCTTTGAAGTTCATCTTCTTTGAGGCCAACTCCTAACATCATTAATTGTTTTAGAAATAATAATATATATCCTCGTATGATTAATATATCTTTTTGAGCTGGTCTAGGACCATCTAAAAATAAATGTACCAAGTTATAAATTAAATATTTTAACATTTTTATTTACATTACCTAATCCTTTTGGAATAATACCACTTTTATTGCGAGGATTTACCACCCAATAATAATACTTAAGAGTGTGAACAGTTTGAAGTACAGTTGACACTCGTCGAACATTAGAATAAATCTGAGTATCAGAGAGAAATTCTGTTGATAGATATGAGTATAAGCGAGTCTGTACATGAGTAGGTGTGTAAATCCATAAACCAGGATTAAATAATATATGATCCAAAAGCTATAAAATAAAATAGAACATTAATGCATTAAAAAAATTCATATTTAACTAATTAAAAATCATTATAAAAACTGTGGTACGTTTATTTGAAGTTAACTTAATTACCTGCTTTAGTAATAATTCATTATTAGGTGTGAGACAAGCGACTAGATGTTTTGTAAGACGTAAAAATGAACCTAATACTTCTAACGTTAAATGATCTCGAGATGACCTTTGTAGCATATAACTTATGACCAGGAATCCACGATTTTGAATCATATGTTGTTGGACTGTTTGAGAAATTTCTACCATATCACATATAAACCCTAACAGTTTCCAGCTGAAATATTTTGTAAAATATTTATAATTGGTTAAAATATACATAAAGGATAAATTTTTATTATAGTAAAGATAAGTTAAAACTCAATATAAACAAAACTGTATATACATGCATAAAAATAGTGGTTCACAATGTTTTGGTAAATCTAATAAATTTTTATCTACTAAATATTTTACATTACTTTTTTTAAAATAATTTATATGTACTTAGATTAATTTAAAATCATATTTTGTAATATTTGTTTTTAATAATAAAAAAATTGTATTTTTAATTTTTCTAAAAATTTAAAAATAGCCATATTTTAGTCTTTTCATACAAAAAATTTTTATGGGTGTGTAACAACTTTAGGATAAGTACTTATGAAGTTATAAGTATTTAATACATATTGTAAGTATGTATCACTAGTGGATTATGCATTATAAATATACACCAATAAGAGCTGTACCCATCAGCGCTAATAATGATCTAATTAAAAAAAATGACTGGTCAATTAAAAAATTGAGAGAAGCATTAAACTAAATGAAACTAAAAAAAATATTTTATATTTATTTTTCGATTAATTAAGGGGTTTATGATAAGTGAATCACTCTGAATATACACACATTTATACAGTGATTAATTGCTCACAAAGCGCTTAATTAATCGTAAAAATAATAATAATATTGAACTTTTATTTATGTTTCTTTTAGGTACACATTTTTCTCAATTAATCAAAAAAATAAAATCCAATCCAATCAAACAGTATAGTTACAACGTCAGACCTGTAACTATCGCTCCGAAAATGAACTCGTCAACGAGTTTGAAATGTGAACATAAAATAGAAGACATGTATATATCTGTATAAATTTCAAACAATAAAAGTTAACACCCTTATAAGATATAAATAATGAACATAAAAAATACTTTATAATAGATAAATTAAAAAACATGTAACTGTAAAACTAACTTATTTTATTTGTATAAATCACCATATATATATATACACAATATAAGTCGCTATTTTGAAGCTTCGTTTTGAAACAGAAAGTATTGATTTTGCCATGCTATATATGTATATATATATATATACATATATATATAAATAAATTTAAGAAATTCGCATTTAAGCGTTTTTTATGATAAAAATGTTTATTATCTATCACTATTAAATATAATCTATACTCGTTCCCGCTTTGCTGCGATCCCACTGTGTTGGTTTTTTTTTGAAATATTAACAAAAGTTACGCATAATTTAATAAGATATATAAAGGGAAAATTTATATTTATTTTCTTTTTAATCATTTAGATATTACGAATAATAATAACTATTCAAGTAATATAATTTACTAAAAACTTTAGTTTAAGTTTATTTTAAATAGTTGATTATTGTAACATGTGTATATTTACATACCATATGGAAGCATCTTTTTTATCCAATGGTTCAGCAGAAAAATCAAGTTGAGCAAATAAAGGAAACAATACCTGTATACCACCGACAGAATTTAAAGTACTGTGAATAGAATGTGTGATGACAGCTTTTACGTCCTATAGAACATAATAATTATTGTATAATTTGAGAAGATAACTACTTTCTGTTTGCGATTAAGAATGTTTAACAAAGTCCTCATTTAATGGATTTCGTGCACTTTATGGTCCATATGTAGGTAATAGCAATCATTACTTACTTGTAACATGAGTGCATGTGGCGTGTGTACAAAATATGAAGCATTCCCTTTTGGAGTTGACTGTAAACACAATTGACTGTCTGTTGCTACCGGGTTGTACATGAATACTATAGCATTCGATAACTTTCCATCATACAGAACCTAAAATGTGTAAGAATATGCTTCATTAATTTATCCGATTAATTTAAACTAAAATTAACTACTAAAAGTTCAATATGAACTCTACTGCGATCCAAACAAAAAATCTAGGATAAGTAATAATTAAACAAAACCATAATGAACTACCCTCAAAAATTACTTCAATATACTTTAAAGCTCAACCGATCAATAATTGTAAAAAAGATCATAGCTTATAAAGCGCAATTGTCAAAAAAAAAAACAGTCAATAACAGCGATGTAAAGTATATATAAATACTATGAACATTATCAGTGGCATACTCAGGATTTTCTAATTATGGGGGTAGGCTAAAATCGAATTAAAAATTAGGTGACCGTTTTTAGTTAATTTTTTTACCAAAAAATACTTGTTTAACTCGGCTATTGGGATGTGTTTCGCCCTTTAAACTATTCCTGAATACGCCACTAAAGATTATGTTATACAAAATTAATAAAAATCATCAACACTAATTCTGCTTGCAATCTTAAGTAATTTACCTTTAAGCAAAATTTAATGTAGCTATGTTAAATTTTATTCCATTTCTATTACATACTTACTAGATGTTTGGTATCTTGTTAATTAATTAGCTGAATAATTTTAAGGTTAATATGAATTTAATGACTGATCGTAAATTATATCCAATAGGTAATATCAATAAAAATTAGTATTATATTTTATTTTAGGAAAATCTAAAATACTAATTCGAACTAAGAATAATTTAATTTTCTCAATCTTTTAGATTTTTGATTTTTTTTTTTAAAACTTGCGTCACGTTTATTCCTTTAGAAATTATTACAGTTAAGAGTATATTTAAGTATGTTTGGCTTGAATTACATTTTTGATATCATACTAATCCAGAAGCTCTTATTTTGAAATGTACAAAATTATTTCTCCAAAAAAAAAAATCTGTTCTATATGAATTATGACGATTTTATCAAATTATTATAGATCATGTTTCAAAAATTAATTTTATTAAACTGGTTGTTTTCATCAATCTCTCATTATAATCACGGTTACTTCCATAATTAAGACATCTGAATAGTAATATTTTTTATAGATTTATATTAGTTAAAAGTAGATTAAATAGTAAAACATAACATTAGATAAAATTTCATGTGTACATTTCAATAATAGTAAAATAACTAACACTACTTAAGCTATCAAAAAGTATTTTAGAAAATTATATTGAAGAAGATTTATTTCTTCAGTTTAAATAATATATTAATAATTGTATATTTTTTTATTTAAGTCATCTAAAAAAAATCCAAACAATAAACTCTTGTTTAAGTTTAGACAAGAAGTTAATGAATCCTATTATAATTATTTTACTAATCACGATCAATATAATAAATTAGATTTTAAAAGATTATAAAATACATTGAATGAAATTCCCATAATACTTTTACAGGATTTAGGTAGTGCAATCTATTGTGACAATAAACAAAACTTGAGAAGTTAATATTTATAAAAATGAAATAATGTATAGATTAAAATAATTAGTTTCGTATACGTTGGGATTTTTGTGTTATACATTAATTTTTAAACGTATAATTTCGGCAATTAAAAAGTGCATAAAAGCAAAAAAACAAAATCTTACAGAACGATCAACAGCGTGCTGGGTCATGCTAGGACTGTCTGAATTTTGACTTGATGAGTTTTGACTTAAACTTTTAAATTCACTCACCCTTTTGTGATTTTCAGGTAAACTCAAATGACATTCGTTGTCGAAACGAAATTGACACTAATGAGTAAAAAAGAAAAAATAATTGTAACACATTGTAAAAAAGTTTATTATTATTATTATTAACAAATTCAATAGTTTAATAATTTATCGATTTTATGAAAATAATATATAAATATAAAATTTACCTTATATCCGGGACCTAATCGATGAATAGCACATATTTGTTGAGTAGTCAGTGCTTCACTGAATAAATAAATGGCTGACATTTGACCACAGAAGACCCGATCTTCGTCCAGTTCTGGAGTTGCGCCGATATAACATTTGTCAAAAGGCTTAAGAATATTAAAAGTAAAAACATAAAAGGATATATTTTGGTTGAACTACTAAATAAGTAATTTAAATCATTACTAAAATTTTACCTCATTAGCAGAGACAAACCAAGCCATTTCTGTACTAGATGCCAATTGACCATTTACTACACATTTAATTTCGCTTTTGGTCCAACGATTATAAATATATACTATTGCAATCATATACCACTTTAAAAAACGAATAAAAATAATTAAAAAATTTGATGATACTATTTTTGATGGTTGCAAAATCATTACCTTTCGTGGTTGAAATTCATATTTAACACAATGCTGAAAACCTTTTCCTTTAATTTTCATTGAAGTCAGTACTAAACAATTTCCGACAAAGTGAGCAGTGTATCCAACGCCCTTACTAGTTTTAAAACTATTACAAGGCGAAACAAATTAGAAATTTCTTCAAATAGAGAAATAAAAGATTAAGTAAAATATTTTTACCAATATAAATAAGGTTTTTCTCGCTCTATGTTGACCGAATTAATTGGATCTAATCGAAACCACGTGCAAAAAGTAAAGCCGTTTTCATGTGGCCATTTCGCCAATGGAGGCAAAACGATAGCCTACAAGTGAAAAATAAAAAAAGACATTATACACTGCTGTAGTACGGATAATGTGAAGAGAAAATAAAGATAAATTAAATGTTTCTTACCGATCCTTTTTTTCCAGGAAAACTAAAAAAAACGTCAGGTCCATTTCTTTGAGGCATTTGTCGTAAAACATTTAAGAGTTTTGTTGAGTGTTTTGGCTGAAAAAAGACAGCAAGTGAAAAAGACAAATAAGTTTCTTCTATTTGAAAATGGTATTTCAAATTTTTAATTAAAAATATATTTAAAGACTAAAATTAATGAATAGCAATTCCTTTTATGAAATAATTTCTAGAATTCCTAGTTTAACAAGAGTTATTCTTATTCAATTCAAATAAACTAACAATGAATAAGTACTTGTGATTGTTTATATGAAGACCATACAAATTTAAATATAAAATAATTATCTAATAGTAATGTAGCTTTAGCTTTAAAAGTGTTAAAATTAGTTAATATTCTTAGAAACAGCTAACCAGTATTTTACTTCTATCAAAAAAAAAAAAAAAAATAGTTTTTAATAACAAATTGTAAATTGTGAATTGTGAATTTAATAGTTTAGCTAAATTAAAATATAAATGCACTATTGGAGAACTATAGATATATTGCTAATTGAAAATGATAGTTATAATTAAAATAAAGTTTTAGGCAAATCGTAAAAGGAAATTAGATTTGATTCCTTACAGTAAAATTAAATGTTCAAACTTAATCTTTATCACATTTTTTTTTTTAGTTGAATATATTTTTTGATTTATCAGCTATTTTTTGGTGTAAATTTAAGAAAAAATTTGGAGGAGGGGCTAAATTAACTTTTTCCGTTCCAAATTATTTTTCTATAAAAATAATTATAATTTTCTTAAAATGTTGGGAACTAATTAAGCACTCCTAAGACTATGATTTCTACCTATGAGGCTATTAATTACGTTTTATAATCACTCCTTATAAATTATAAGGGTTTTAACATTATTTTTTAAATAACAACATACATATTTAACTAAATTATAAAATTGGAAATAGTCTAATTAAGAAAATGACTGGTCGATAACAAGTTTTGGACCAGTCATTAAGGTTATTCTCATTTTTTACCAAGGCCAAAGGAAGACTGTAGCCGAAGAACTCATAATAAAATTAACAACAAACGCGATTTACCTATTTATTTTGCGAGTAGTCGGAATTTTTGTTATTATAAACCGAAATGATATTACTCTGTATATAAAATCTTAGAACTTGAGTTTCTTTTTAGATGAGACATTGACATAAATATTACCAAAAACTTGGGAGACTAAACTATAAATCAATTCATAAGCTTCATAAAATAAGGTTTTTCTCTTGTAAAAAATATTTTCTAAAAAAATTGAACGTTACTGAAATTATAAGAGATTGAATTCATTTAAGTATCCACATCTGATTTATGCTTATAAAATGATTTTTGGAAAAATATATAAAAATACCTTCAATCATATACTATATTAAAATATAAAATATGTAAATATTTTCATTATAAATGTTATTTTATGTTTGTAAATAAACTACAATAAAATTTATTTTTAGATTTTGTAAGCTTATAATATTTAAAACTATAATTGCATATTAATATTACTCATAACGCTATCATATTAAATTACTTGTTATACAAAAGAGTACATTATTTAAAAATTGAAGTAAACTGGAAACGATGTTATAAAATAAAAATGCATCAGGAGGATCATCCTTCGAAAACTTAATTTTAACATAAGATACCGTAAATAATGTCAAAAAAAATACCATATTGTATTACTAGTTTTATGGAAATATAACGCCAAGGAAAAAACATTCGTAGACAAGAGAGCCATTTTAAAATAACGGCTGTGACATTAAGTAAAATATATATTTTACAGTGATGTCACGTAAAGGACTTAAAGTGTTATTGCAGACGACGTAAGACAGTCGTCTGTTACCTAAATGGAAACGTTTCTCAGTTGGCGTTCAAAACAACTAGATCTATATAAAAATGAAAATTTAGGAGTACTTTAAAAAAACGTGCATTTGGATATGCATTTTTTTATCGTAAATGAAATTATTTGCTTTATTATCAATTTTTTACACAGTAATTAGAAAACTTTTGGAAGCATAAAAATTTAATGCTGGTTTTAAGTACTTGTAAAGTTTTACAGTAAAATAATCAACGTTTTGTGGACTGAGTAGCACCACGTAGATGTGTTTATAGCTCTCATTAAGAATCATCTCATGTTAAAAGCAAAACATCACGTACACGTCAATTAGTTAGTCAAAATAAAAAACAATTACTAAGTTTACATAGATAGATACATACATAAATTTAAATTTTTCTTTTTTTCAGTTGTAATTGCGATAAACTTAATTTTCTATAAAAATGCTGACATACACTATAAGAAATAACCCAAAAATATTCATACGCTAATATGATATTTGTAATATATACTTTAATTTTACATACAAGTAGCCTAATTTTGACATAATGTATCAAAAAATCGTATACAAATATAACATTTTTATCACTACATAACAAAAATATCCCTTAGATTATTTGCATTAAAAACTTTCAGCACATGTATATGAAAATTTGGACATTTTTTTATGAGTATATCTAAATTAAGACTATATAGTAAGACCAGTTATAATGTATGGTTCTCGGTGTTGGACGATTGAGATGAGAATAGAGCAGAGATTGAGCGTAGCAGAGATGAAAATGCTTAGATGGATGAGTGGATAAGATAGGATAAGTAGCGAACACATAAGAGGAAGTATAGGTGTAGCTTCAATCGTGGATAAGATGAGTGATAATAGACTTAGATGATTTGGTCACGTTATGAGGAAAGAGGAATCGGAAGCTGTAAGAACAGTTATGGAAATGAATGTTGAAAGAAGAAGAGGTAGAGAAAAACCAAAAAAGAGATGGATCGACGTTATTGAATGCGATAAAAGGGCGGCTTATGTGTGCGTAGATGACGTGGAAGATCGTGTTAAGTGGAAGTTTAGGATAAGGGTGGTCGGGGTACAGTCGAGGAAAAAGAAGACGAAAAAATATGGTGAAACAATTGATTTATTATATTATATATAAAGAACGATATTATATAATAGTATAAAAATATAATATTGTAGCATGGAAAGTTTTGTATTATTTCTTACATTGTATTGACCACATGAAGACTTAGAGTGCATTAACTAAAATATATTTTAAGTTTCGTAAATTAAAATCTGCATAAAAAAAACATAAAAACAGAAATAATTTTTCATGTAATATCGTAAATATACAATACTCTCTTAAAATTAATTATAATTAATTTAAGAAACATTTTTAACAAATAATATCCAATATAAACAATTAATGTGACTTATAAATATCAATTTATTAATATTTTTTACTGATTAGATGAATTCGTTAAATTCTCTTAGTCACATAATTTATTTTAATATTTTTGGTTCAAACAATCATTAAAATAAGTTTTGCATGCATTTATTTTATTTATGCCTTGAATATTCAGGTCTCATTAAAAAAATGCATTGAACGTTTATAAAAGAAATAAGTTTCAACTGTCAGTAAAGTATTAAATCAATCATTTATTTAAGTAAATAGTAAGTCCTTCTCGTGAATAATAGAAATATTTTAGACAAATCGTTGTTTCATTATATTAAATGGTTGCCCTATTTATAAAGTTAAACAAATCAACTGCCTGGTTTTAAAATAGTAAGAAATATAAACTAACCTAATAATCTGTTTCATTAATATCTAAGCTCTCAATGATTATAAGCAAGTAAGTTACTTCTTGATTAAGAAAAATAAAACGATTCTTTGTAATGATAAGGATAAGGATATTGCTTAGATACATTTTCATCATAAAAAACAAGCATTTTTCAATAAAATATTATCCCGTAACTAATACAATGCGGTGTCACAGATAGCTACATCTTTTTAATATACTTTTACTATTTTTTATTATACTTATCAATTACAATATTGATAATATTACAAGAAAGTTACATATTCTATATGTGGAGGTATTATTTATATGATAAACAAATATAGTTATCAAATGAAGCGATGTGTTATAACGCATTATGCCAGTAACGTTATATTTATTAACTGTACCAGTGTTACGGTTTAAATTAACTATATATTTATTGGAATATTTATAAAAATTATAGTAATATTTGACCATTGTTTTAATATTTTATGTATCTTATAAGACAAAGAATTTTCTTATCAAGAAATCACTTAACAAAAAAAAAAAAATTAAATTTTTTTTTTAATTACCAATAAAATTAAATTATAAATAACAAAGGGATTTTAAATAAAAGATTACATGCTTGAACTGTTAGAGAGTAACGAACACAAACATTTGTCACACCGTTAAGTTTTATATTACTTTTAAAATATAAAACGTAGAAACTTGAGACATCCAAAAATCAAAGAAATTCCTTTGAAAAAACTTATAAAAGTATTTCCTTTTATATCCATAAAAGCTTATAACGGATTATTTAATTAGTCATGATTCAATTTTTCTTAAAAATAATTTTTACAGAAAGATGTTGGCCACGTCTAATTTGATTGTTAATTTATCAATTGTTATTATAATATAATAACAATAATATTTTTATAGTATTATTATACTATACTTATTTAATAACCTACTTTATATTTTTAAAAAGGGGATTTGTTTAAAATATTAATATAGAAAAACAGAAATTCAATAATATTTCAATGATTTAGCATAGACATTTTTATGACAATAACAGATTCATTCAATAAACTAAAATATTAAATTAATAACTTGGAAGTAATAAAAATAATAAATTTCAGTTTACTATAAGATAAGATATAATAGAGCAAATATTAAGATAAGCAATATTGGATGATGTTAGTTTGCTATTAAAAATTAAGAAAGTTCAAATTTAAAAACAACATAATATTTTTTTACATTTATAACATTTGTAATGGGAAAAAGAGTATACAAAAACAAAAAGAACATAGGAGGAGAATCGAGGATCCGGTGGAGGAAATTGAAAGGGGAAATTGAAAAAGTTTTTAAAAACTGTAAAAGAGATGACGGTGTGGAATGTCGAAGGAGATATAAATAATAGAAAAGATTTGCTAATTGTGTAAAGAATACTGCAAAGAAGATTGTTGGTGAAAGTATAAATGAAATGCTAGGAAACAATGAAATTTGGTGGTGGGATGAAGACGTTCAGAAAATCATAGAGTAAGAAAAAACAGTTCAAAGTATGGCAAAAGAGCTAAAGGAGAGAAAAATTGATGGAATATAAACGCTTGTGCGAAGAAGCTAAGTATGCGGTAAGTAAGGCAAAGTTTAAGAAATATGATAAGGATAGGTATGATAGGATAGAAATAAAAGAATGTAAAAAAAAAAAAGTCTATAGACTTGCAAAAGTAAGAGAAAAACAGTCTAAAGATTATCACAATTTAAGGTGTATAAAAAGTAATGATAAGAGGATGCTTGTGAAATTAAAAAAAAGTGAAAAATTACTAAATGAGGAGTATTTTTTTTTATACCACGTAATTGGTATAAAAGTGAGAAAAATGAAAAAGACATTTGTACATACAATAATTTTTAAAAATATTTAGCTAAAAGTAAGTATTTTTTAATTTTTAGTGAATTTATATGTGATTTACAATATAAAAAATTGAAAAATGAGATTTAAATTGGTACTTGAATCTTCTCTCACTTAGATGTCAGTAAATATATAACTTACTAAGTAAAAAAAATAAGAAGAAAATTGTAAATAGTGGGTTAGCAAAGAAAACAGTAAATAAATGTATTCAATGTAATGATAACTACATTTGTGATAACTGAAAAAAAAGATAATTTAATATCAAAATAATAATAAAAATTTTATTTAAAATATCAAGAAAAATTTAATGATATCAAATTAAACTTGTTAATCTTTGTGTTATTTATTTCTGAATAATTGAAAACACATTTCAAAAATCAAATGACAAATTGTTTTAATTTCTAAAAAAAAATATAATTATAAATATGTTTGGTATACAGGAATAAATAGGTCATTTAAACAATTAAAATTATATGTTATTTCCCAGTAATATTTGATAAAAATAAGACTACACTAATAGTGCAATTTAACAAACAAAATAAATACGAAAGCAAGAGTTTGAAAATTCTATGACATAAACTGAAAATAGAAGATTTTCATTTAAGATTGACATTTCTTAAAATGAATACCTTATCCTTGTTTTTGTAAGTCAGCAAACGAGTAAAATCTAACAAAAGATTCATAGGGTATCCTTTTATAAAAGGTAATGAAAAATGTTCAGTGAAATTCTGAATCCAAAATAGAGTTGTTATTAAAAGTTATATAGAATGACAACATACGTTATTATGGACAAATAACATAATAACATACGTCATTACTATGCTTTTCAATGTATTACGATGATTGATTTGAATGTTTTTTAACTACAGCAACTGTTTGCACATAGAAGATAAGTTGTCGGAACAAATCATTATTTTTTGAACTTATATTAAGTAGCATAAACTTTAATTTAACATTTTTTTGAAGCTCGGAGTTATTCCGAAACATTTTCAAAACTTTAATTGAAAAAGTTGAATTTTTGTGCAGAAGTTGCTATTTTGAAACCCCGCGGTGAGCAGGTCAAATTTTTAAATAACTTATACTAAATAAAAGCAAAATGCTTAGGGTAATTACAAAAAAAAAAATGATTTTGTTTTGTTCATATTTAAAAAAGTTATGAGTTTAAAGAAAAAAAAATTTTTAAAAAAGTTGAAATTTACTTATTTTAAAAATCAAAGTTTTTTTAGATATATCCCCTATTTAATGGGAATGAGAGAATTTTTTCAATATTCAAAGTCAATGTTTTCAACTAGACACGACTTAGATCTTTTGACGTAACGTTGAAAGAAATCAGTCCAATTTCAGCTTAAAAAAAACACATCATAGTAAAATTAATACCTTCTCCGCTTCGCATCGAAGCTAAAAAGTGGCGACAAGTATATATAAAAAATAACCCATCATAATAAAATTAATATCTTCTTAGTTTCGCATTGAAGCTAAATTACTATGAATGTTAACATTTTTATTCTTAAACATAATATAAATTCGATATTATATCATGGCTAATGTTAATTTTTTTTTTATTACTCACCCATTTTCCGTTAATGGCTTTCATGGAACCCAATAATAATTTTAATTCTTTCACGGTAATACTAAAACTTGCTAAGACTCCAAGCATATCAATTAAGAGGTCTGAAAATATAAACAAAATTAGTTTAGAATATGTTTCAAGATAATTGAACAAAGTACAAATAATTATAATTTGATTTTAAAGAGAAATTTATTATTTTTGAAGCTTATTACACTTCAATAATTTTTCTTATTAAAATAAGAAAATAAATTATAAACAATTATAATTTAACTCTGTAAAACTTTAAATTGATGATAAAAGAAACATTTAACAAATTATTTCTATGATCAGAAAAAGTAGTTTAAGGGATATTTAAAGAAGCTTTAATCTCATTTTAAATTTAAAAAATATATATTTAACAGTTATCACCTTCTTAGGCAACGTTTAGCGTGTTTATCAATGTATTTTTTTTTGAAATGTTGAAATAACCATTTTTAGTCGATTTCTTACAAAAAATTTGATTGGACAATGATAATTTAAGGAAATGTACTTACATACATACAGTGGACATCAAAAACGGATGGAGTATACATACATCAATATGGTCTACACTCAACCGTTCTACATATCCACTCAATAAAATAAAAAGAAATCAACGAAATGATAATTGAAACAAGAGTTATAAGGCTTAACACCTATAATATATTTGAACAAATTATTAGCATGATAATATAATTATTTCTATAACATATGTATTGTTATATAATATTAATTTAATATTAACATTAGAAAGGAAAGATTTCGGGATTGAATAAGTAAAATCAAAGTAAAAGTTTTGTTTCCCTTTGAAAATCTAACATGAAAGAAAATCCTTAGTTTTCAAGAGAAATTTTTTTGTTAAAATACACCGAGCAGTCAAGTCGTTTGCAGTTAATTCTTCAGATTTAAGCAGATAACAAACAAAACAAACTTCAATGTTAATGATGAATAAAAGACGTACTTACCAACTATAACTAATTGAGATTATATAATTTTCTTATAGTGTTTAAAATTTATTTATTTTAAGGTAATAACTTCCATTTAGTTAATATACATGAAACTCGAATATATTTATAATTATTAGATCAATTTTAATGAAATAAACATTCTTAATATAACGTCAAAAAAACTTTAAACAATTGTAATGTTTTTGATCTACAAATTTTAATATAATTCATACTTTGATATATAAAAAAAAAACAATTACTTAATTAAGGTTTGAATAAATTTATTAAACCAAAAATTATGTGCTAAGTTGTTAAAATTAAAAAAAATATTTTAATTAAATTAATTTTAACTTTTAAAGTCGACATATCCAAATTAACCGACTGCTAGATCATTTAATAATTTCAAATAAAATATAGGGTTGTAATGGAACACTTTAATAGACTAGTAATTACACCTTTGAGACTTCGGTTTAACTAATCAAAACTTTCATAGTATTTAACTTATGTATTTGTTTAACAAACTCAATCTTTAGAACAGTAATAAACATGACATTAGTACATTTCAAGCAATTGTAACTAGTTAATTTAAAAGTGACTAAATCACAATATACATTGTTTGTATTTTAAAATAGACTTTTTTAACAGAAAATTTTATTTTTTACTTTTATTTACGAGAAAATAATTTGACAAAATTTGGTCATTTATTTACTAAAAATGAATGATAATAGTTATTATTTAAGTAAAAAAGAATTAATTTACAGCTTAAAACTTCTTAAGTTTTGCAGTTATTATCAAAACTTAACAAACCATATTTATTTTACAAGTAATGTGTATCAGATAAAATAATTTAAAACATCTTAGTATTATCTTGTTTATAAATCACACGGAGAAATAATTAGCATAAAGTATGGTATTCTGATAGAACTGCTCGCGAGTTATGACTTAAATGTCTTTATTTGACATCAGTTAATTTATTGTCTATCTAACTCAATAGCATAGCAAAAGTTTGAAATTTGGGTTAAGTTTATACACCTAAAATACACTATTTTATGAAAGTCAAAATTAACAGAGACGACCAAAGTCTCTGTTGAGACCAAAGGACGTGTCTCAATATTGTCACATAATTTCTAATGAATATTTACACAGAAGGTGATTTTATAAGAGTACAAATTTGTATGTATGGATTATTACCTGCGACAACGGTATCAGCCTTTGCAAGCCTGTTTACGACAAGTTCGATTAATCCAACATCCGTACAAGCCTGAAGATTTCTTACGGACTTTCGCAGTATAGCAATAAATACACTCCATATTTCGGCCTGTAACAACAAAAAATAATAAAATAAATAAAAAACTTTAATACCATAGTACAATAATACTATAGTAGCTTTTCATTTATGTTAGACGTATTGCCATAAGAAACACAACCTAACCGAGGTGTATACAGAAAGAATATTTCAATTATTATTATTGCAAAATAGAGACTCATCTCATGAATAGGTAAAAACGAAAAAAATTATATATATATAAAAATGATTTTTAAGTACATACTCAAAACGTATCCCTTCTCATACACAGATATTTGATGGAGGAATATCAATTCATTTTTATTCGTGCAAATGCACACGAGGGTCGATTACTATTTTCAATAATTTGCTTCTTTACTAGATATCAGTTCTACTACCGCCATCAATGGATACATGTAAATAACATATTGTGTATATACGGTCTGTTTTTGGGGTTCGGTATTTTATTTTACTTTTTTGTATGAAAAGAGAAATATTAATTTCAAGCTTTGCGCGTTTACTGCGAAAAAAAGGAAGAAAAATACATACATGCATAATATGAAATAGCACGCCTAAGTATGGCATATATATATATATATACACACACATATTTATACATAGTCTCGAGGGAGGGTTCTGCTACAGACGGCGGAAACGACCACCACTGCTACCGTCCTACCATTAAAAAACGTGTGAACTTTTATGGAACACAAACTTGTCTCATTTAAATAATACGGCCCTTAACCTAGGAAAGCAGGGAACCGTTTGGGTAGAATCCGGAAGTATTACAAGCTTAGAAATCCGAAAAGTGGATTACACTACGCCTGTTCTCGTGATTTCGAATTATTATTATCTTTAACACATTTTCATTAGCCAAACAATGTATAGATTTAAAAGGTCTTTATGTATATCTCCCAACTAATTTTACATTTAGAGTACTCAGAATTGATATTCAATGTGTACAGTACGCTTCATTTCCATAATGATTTTAATTAAAAACAAAACCTATACCTTTTTAGCATCGCATCGAAGCTAAAAACATTTTTAGAAGAACAACATTATTAATTTTTTCGTTTATATTTAAGCGTTTTTTTTTTCTATAATATTACGTCAAAAACTTCATTTGAAGTGTTTTAATATCGTTATGTTGGTTTTTTTCAGCAAGTTCATACAATTGTCCCTAAAAAAATTAACTTATTAATTACGTATATTATACACAGAATTAATAAGATTATAAATACACACAGAGTTTAAAATGTGTAATTAGTCAATATAGTTTCAAGTGAACAGTTATTTAAACAAATAATTTCGAATAAATAATTCTATTTAACTAGATTTATTACGAAATACCACAGATTTGTGCAGGAAGGTAATCGATGAAAACATTTAGTATGTTATTCAGATTAAATATCCCTAACCATACTAAATTCCCAGTCATTATAAGTTGCTTCAAATGAGACGGAACATTGAAACTGTCATTGTCACTCGAGAAATTATATGTATATATTTATTTTACCCTAGTAACGTTTCCCGAGTTATAATTTAATTACCACTGACACTCTCTATCTACAGAGCAAACGCTGAGCGCAATGGAATGAGATAACAATATTAAATCTTATACTGGAAAACGCTTACAAAATTACTGAATAAAATCCCTTAAACAAAGACAATTTTTAATGTCTTGTCTGGTCTTACTAGAAGCAAAGTCACAAATCAGCTAAAAATAGAACATGAGATCATCATCCATTTTTTGTTTCAAATAGATTAAGATTTGTCACATGGTCTGACAATTATTTTTACTTTGCAATAACTTTTAACAAGTATCTTTTAGCTACTTTAGTATTATAATTTTTTTTATTGAAGCGATATAAAGTAATTAAGTTATAGAGAAACTGTTTAGGCGAGCGATGGAGTAAAATTATAATGACATATAAAAATATTGAATATTTAGGTATATTTTATTGAACAGAATGATTAAAAGGGAGCGAGAAAATAGCGATTGACATATTATAATGAGTTTTCAATTGGTTAATTAAATAAATTTCTAAGTAATGAAAACTGAACGTTCCCGACAGGCTTTGTTTTGTTAAGTGGAATGCAAAATATGTGAGTAAATTAAACAAAGTTTTTGGCATGCTTAATTTATGATGTACGCGTACTTTGTCAATAATAATTTCAAGTTTTATTCTTTGATTAAATTATTTAAATAAAATTCTCAATGGTTAAATTTAAATTATAAAATAATAAAAAAAGAACATACAAATAAAAATTATCATTCTAAATTAAAAAGCTTATTAATAAATTACATAAATAATGTTCTTATTCTATAATAAAACGTTTATTAAATATTTTTAAAAGTTTTGCGGTAATATAATTAAGCGAAATCTTTTAAGTATAAAAACTGCATAATATCTAAGATAACACCATTATAACACAATATTATATTATTTACTCTGATTATAATACAAGTAATTTTCTCTTTTTGAATTTATATATTTATGTAAAACTGAAAACCTAGAAATCGATACATACAAGAAAAATATACTGATTTATTTTTTATATAATACTAGCACATAATTAAACTTGTGCAACTTTCTTTTCATAAAATTTCTGCAATGTGTGTACTGAAGATTATTATTTTATTCGCCAAAATTTAAATTCATATAAACAAATTGTTTGTTTTGTCGTGAACATTAATAATACTCCATTTGACTAAAGAGAACGACAAATCCAATGTAAAAGCAGAGTATTTGTAAATTCTTTTGCAACGTTTGTACAATAAAATACATAAATAACACATTTAAAATTAATTTTGCTAACTGTTGACACTAAGAATTTATATTTCTATTTAAATAAACAAAGAAAAACAATTTTTTATTTTATTTTTTGGCTTACGTAAGGGTAAACCAAAATGTACTTGATAATTTTTACAATAATGATTTAATAAAGTAAAATTAAAACTATATTAAAAATATTATTAATTTAAAAAACTAAAAAATATTAAAAATATTAAGCTCAAANTATATATATATATATATATATATATATATATAGATATAGATATAGATATAGATATATAATAAAAAAAATATTTTATAATAAAAAATAGCATACTTTGTAGCAAAAAAAAAAAAGAATTATTCTCTTTGTAAATCTAAAATTATAACAACGCCTTGAATTTGCGGTTTCCATTTTGATAGTAATTTTAACAAAGCTGATTAATCGAAATTTACTAATATAAACATTTAAAACAATCATTTTAATAACCGTCAACCGGTTTTATAGAACTGTATACATACATAACAGTTAATAACTTGGTTTGTAATCAAATCCTATTTTATTAAAATAATACAATTGATTTTACGTTTTACAATCAACGTCTATCAAAAAGTTTTCGACAGACGAAATGAATTTTTACAATATCCATCATGTAACCGTAATTTTAAGTTTGGAAAGTATATTTTTATTTTTATTTTTACTGAGGATGACAGATATCAATGGTTTTTACAAAATGATTATTGTAAGCAACAGTCAACAGAGTGATTATTTAACTATGATTCGCGCAATATCTTTTAATATATGAAACATAATATAATTATTTTCTTTACAACAGTTAATAAATAAAGTAAAAAAATATATATTTTTTAAAAATTATAGAACATAAGACACTATTTACTTCTGAAAAGTAAAAATTATAACCTGTTTCATATTTTTGATGATATTATGTTAGTTGCAGTTGAATAATCACCCTACATAATTTCGAAGTAATTTTAATTAGAAATTGAGGTAATTATAAAAAAGAAATTTGCTTTTTAGCATACTATATTGTGAGACCAATTAATTATCGTTTTATATTTAATAAACCCGGAATGTAAATTAAATAAAACGAAAAATTATAAACAATAATATAATTGTTTTGTAAATACGAGTATTATTCATCATAAAAACAGAATTTAAAAAAATCATGATTTATTAATACGAAAGTTTCCGTTTTTATTTTTTATGATACAGCAATTATTTATAACAGGTCGGCTGAACTTGACTTTTGTTTGTTTAAACAGTTTTATTTAGTAGTTTTATTAGTCCAAATAAATTTTTTGAATTACAAGTTATTATAGTTATATTATTAAACTAAATGTTTTTATTTTTACAAAATACAATTGTGAAACTAATAGCTCATACTTTAAGATAAAAACTACTGTCACGTTCGTGATTTAGTACACTATTCAACGTAAATAAAACTATATTAAAACAAATTATTAAGTACAAAATTGGTAAGTATGCAGTCTTCTTGTTTTGCTAAAATTAAATTAAAAATATTTCAAGATATATTGTTTCTTTTTTTTCCTAGTTTACAAATTTATTAAAAATATAGTAAAAATTATTTTTTAAAAATATTTTTCGATACACTTTTTAATAAATAAGTGATAAATAAATATTTCATTTATTTTTTATAGTTTTTATTTAGTTTTCAGTTATTAGGGTGTTAGATAACTGCATAAATACACAATTATTTTCCATTATCACACATATTTAAATACAAATCTTATCTTAACTATAAAAAAACGGTAGCACAGTGGGGTCGCGGCATAGTAGAGACATTGCATAGTAGGGTCCAGTATAGATTTAATCTGACAGTGATTAAAATCACTATCATAAGAAACGCTTCGATGCAAATCTGTAGATAGTGTTTAATTTTAAAAAATTGATGGATAATTGCAAAAGCAACATCAACTTCTATTAAAATAAAATACAAAACCCATAATTATCATACAAAAATAGTATATTTTTCAATATGGTAGCCATTTGCGTATAGAAGATAGATCGTCGGGACAAATTTTTTTTTTTCATTTTATAGTACATAAAATAAGCTTTAATTTTATATATGTTTAAAGGACGCAGTATTTCCGGAACATTTTCAAAAATTAAGTTGAAAAAGTTAGTTTTTGTAAAAAAGTTACTATTTTAAATCCTCCCAGTGAGCAGAATAAGTGTTAGATTTTCAAAAAAAATTATATCAAATGAAAGGGAAA